CTTTTACTACTACCACTACTAACTACTACTACTACTACTACTACTACTACTACTACTACTACTACTACGACTACGACTACGACTACGACTACGACTACGACTACGACTACTACTATTAGCATTACTACTACTACTACTTCTTTGACTACTACTACTACTACTACTACGACTACGACTACGACTACTACTATTAGCATTACTACTACTACTTCTTTGATTTTTACTACTACTACTACTACTACTACTACTACTATTACTACTACTACTACTACTACTACTACTACTACTACTACTACTACTACTACTACTACTACTACTACTACTACTACTACTACTACTACTACTACTACTACTGTTACTATTAGTGCTGCGGCTGCCACGACTAGTACTAATACTATTATTTATGTTTCTGCTGCTGTTGCTACTACTACTACTACTACTGCCATTGCGCTTGCCACTGCTATCAGGACTACCGTCCCTACAGCGAATGCTGCCACTAACACTACGCTTCCTGGAGGCCCTCTGGGAGGCCTCTTGGGCCGTCCTGGGCCATCTTATAGCCATCTTTGGCCGTCTTGGTGGGTTCCTGGCCCGTCTGACACCGTCGGAAGCCGTCTCATAGGGCCTCTCTGGGCCGACTTGGGGCCCTGTAGGAATGCTCCAGGGCCGTATTGGAGGCTTTCTTGGGCGTCTTAAAGGCCTTGGGCCCTCTTGGAGCCGTCTTGAGGGCCTCTTGGGCCGTTTTGGGGCCATCTTGGAGGCCTCGTGGGCGATCTTTGGGGGCTCTTGGGCCGTCTCGGGCGGTCGGAAGGCCGAAAAGAAGCAAATACGAGAATCCCTCAAACACCGAAGGAACATATATGATTTTAGCCTGTTCGCGCTCTCCAGGAGGACCTCTCGGAGGCCTCTTGGGCCGTCTTGGAGGCCTCTTGGGCACCTCATGGGCAGTCTTGGGCCGTCTTGGAGGCTTCTTGGGCGGAATTGGAAGTATCTTGGGCCGTCCTGGAGGCCATCTTGGAGGCCATCTTGGGCCGTCTTGGGAATTTGTTTGTGAGAATTGGGCGCCTTTGGGTCCTTTCGGGTGGCCGGCGGGACGGGCCGAAACCTCAGGGAGAATTCTTTGGGAAGAAGAACCAAAACCAATAATGATAGCATTTAGCACGCCAGGCACCCCTGTGGCAAGCCAACAGGGGGCGGCGGATAAAATTGTCTTCGGCCTATCCTGCCACCGTGCCTGGGTTGCGGGGAAGAGTTCTCGGGGATGCTTCTTGGGGTCTTTTTGGTGCGCTTTCGGGGACATCTTGGGGGCAGTTTGGGGGGTTTCTTTTGAGCCTCTGGGGGACTTCTTGGGAGCCTTTCGGTGGCCTCTTAGAGCTTGCTGGGTGCCTCTCGGTTGTTCTGGCGCCATCTTGGGCCGCTTGGGACTCTCTTGGGGGCCTCTTGGGGCGATCTTGGGGGCCTTTTGGGCCGTCCGGGAACGTCGGGAAGCGGAAACGGCGAAAACGCCAAAATGTTTCATAACCTTTTGACTGTCCATGATTTTTGCCTCTTGGGAGGCCTTTTTGGATCTTGGGGCGTTTGGGGGGCATCTTCGAACGTGTGGTGGCCATCTTGGGCGTGTTGGACCGAGCGTTCGACGACTAAGGACCCCCGTTCGCCCTTTCGGCCCTTCACCTCGCAGAGCTACATGAGCCTTGGGGCACTGCACTACCACTACTACAATATTCGTCAAACAATAAGTTGACGGTTTTTGTTTCCGGCGCTTGCGCGGTCGGCGCTACTTCAATGCTGACACGAAAAATGTATGGCGCGCACGCAGGGGTGTCCAGAATTCGGCAGTGCCCTCACAGCATTGAAGAACGCCTTTTCTGACAAGTGCTCGAAATATCGAGCGTTTCCATCTTGAACGGCGTCTCAATTTCTGTTTGGCGAGGATTGTATTTCCCCAATCAGAGCTTCCCTCTGTAGGGGTCCTAGTGGATTCATTCCCCAATCAGAGCTTGCCTCTGTATGGGGTCCTAGCGGATTCATAAGGTTAGATAGGTGCGTCGGGAATTTCCCTGGGTGCCCGGGTGCCCAGGTGCCCGGGGTCTGTCGGGAATTTTCCTGAGCGCCCGGGTGCCCAGGTGTCCGGGTGCCCGGGTGCTTTACAGCCCTATAGCCCCATAGCCCAGCAGCCCTACAGCCCTATAGCGCTATAGCCCTATAGCCCTACAGCCCTATAGCCTTCTAGCCCTCTAGCCTAATAGTCGTATAGCCCTACAGCCCTACACGGGTGCCCGTGCCCTATAGCCCTATAGTTCTACAACTTTATAATGTTATAGCCCTATTGCCTTATAGCCCTATCGCCCTATAGCACAATAGCCCTATAGCCCTACAGCCGTATAGTGCTACAGCCCTATCGCCTTTTAGCCCTATAGCTCTATAGCCCTATAGCACCATAGCCCATAGCCCTATAGCCCAATAGTGGTGTCCCGTGGAGGCGAAGCTGCGTGGGCGCGCGAGAGGAATGAACCCGCCGTTGCTAGGGCGAAGCCAAGACAAATGCTGCTCCCCCGTCCGTCCGTCCGGCGGTGGCCCGCAGAGTCCCGTGGTGTCCCGTGGTGTCCCGTTGAGTGAGATCGATACTGAGACCGATATTGAGATCGATGTGGTGCCCCGAGGTGTCCTGTGGTTTTCCAGAAAGTGAGATCGACAGTGAGACCGATAGTGAGATCGGCATGTGTCCCGTGGTGTCCCGTGGTGTCCCTTTGAATGAGATCGATAGTGACATTGATACTTAGATCGATACTGAGATCGATGTGGTGCCCCGAGGTGTCCTGTGGTGTCCCAAAAAGTGAGATCGATAGTGAGATCGATGTGGTGCCTTGATGTGTCCCGTGATGTCCCAAAAAGTGAGATCGATAGTGAGATCGACAGGTGTCCCGTGGTGTCCGATGGTGTCCCGTTGAGTGACATCCATAGTGAGACCGATAGTGAGATCGAGAGTTGTTCCGCGGTGTCCCGTGGTGGCCCGTGGTGGCCCCTGGTGTTCCGTCGAGTGAGATCGATAGCGAGATCGACAAGTGTCCCGTGGTGTCCCGTTGAGTGAGTTCGATAGTGGGATCGATTGAGTCAGATGTTGGTTCCCCCCGCTCTCCCCAACCTCCTTATCACCCGAAGGGTGGTCGTATAGGTACTGGTTATGACACGGATGCGAAGACTTACTCTGTATACCGGTACGAGTATCAACATCACGGTTCGTATTAAGTCGAATACAAAGTACAGAAACATTCGTCTTAGCAGCATTGCTACTTATAGTGATGAAATTAATCTGCAACGGGAGGCCACGGGAGACCGCGACGCCCGACCCATGTTGGATCAGGCAACGCACGGGAAGTTACGGGAGGCCGCGTCGCCCGATCGATTCCGGAATTGGCAACGCACCTACGAGTTTCTTCGAAGCCGTATATATTTTAAACAGTATGTATGTTGATCCGTATATATATATATGTATCGGAGACAGGCTGTTGATAACACATGTTTATCTATCGGTCTGGCTATCCACCCATCGATCCCAATGCTGTCAAAATTCAAAATGGTTCCGCTTCTTTTTGATCACATTTTCTGTCTACACATCGGAGGTGGGGGGGGGGTAGATCGAAGTGAACTGGAGGCGCCCGCCAAGAAAACAGTTCCGGTTTCGTGTTCGTGTCGTGCGTGCGGGCGAGGCGAACCCGCGTGCGCGGGAGAGAGGAGTGATCCCACCGCTGCTAGGGCGAAGCCAGAGCAAAAGTCTCTCGTCCCTCCGGTTGGCGGCCAGTGTCCCAGGGTTGTCTTGGCGATTGTCCCGTCGATTATTCCGCGGTTGCCCCGTCGTTGTCCCGATGGTTGCCCCGATGGATTTCGGAGGAAAGAACGGTCGGCACCTTCGGCGCCTCGAGCTTGTCACAAAAATTATCAAGAATGCGTTGGTTGTCCCGATGATTGTTCCGGCGGATAGATGGTAAGATCGACAGATGGATCAATTGATCGTGATGTTGATCGTGAGATTTGTCGTGTAATCGACGGATATACAGCGAGGCTGGTAGATTGTGAGTGATATCGTTCGACAGATCGTGAGTTTGATTGATCGTGAACCGACAGATGAAGGGTGAGGGCGACGGTAATATCAACATGTGTCTATATATATGGATACATTGATATCGAGACCGACCAGTAAATCGTTAGCTAATAGATAATACAACCGATAGAGGTTGTGAAATGGATGGGGACGGTTGTCCCGATGATTGTCCCGTCGTTGGTCTCACCGCAAGCCTTTTTATCGGCCTTCGGCCGGCCTTATTGGTGTGCACAGACATATACATATGCACACCAGTATAATAAGAGATGCAGATATACATGTCCATACTCAACATATGTATGCCTGTCAAGGTCTATCTATCTATCGGTTGCAACATCAATTTGTCCATCGGCGGGACAACCACGGGACAAACGCGGGACAAGCACAGGACATTTTCGGGACAACAGCGGGACAATCACCGGACAACCATGGGACAATCTCGAGACAACAACGGGACATCCATTGCACAACCGCGGGATAACCACAGAGCAACCGCGTGGGAACCACGGGACAACCCCAGAATATTGAAGTCAGACTACACACATCTTTCTGTCTATCAATCGGCCGATTGATGTCACGATTTCGGATGTTGGGGCTTCGTATGTTAGTGCTCAGTGCCAGGTTCATGCTCTGGCTTGTCGTGCCAGGGCTTAGCACTAGGGTGTCAGGGTGGCATGGTTCGGCTGAAAATCTGTCTGGTCAGGGCAGCTCAGTCAGGGTGTTTGGGCTAGGGCCAGGGTTTCAGGCTACGTTTGGGTTAGAGGGTTCAGGTCCAGCTGTGATGGGTTGGGCGATGTACGTACAGATATGGGCCAATCGGATCAGGGCGCCTGTGCTTGGCTTGGGGCCAGGGTCGGAGTCCGGAGCATGGGGGCGGGGCGACGGTATTGGGGGTCAGGTGTTGGGGTTGGGACCTGCGCGCCGAGAGTGGGACAGGGGAGGTCGACCTCCCAGACCGAGGGGTCGCCGATTCTCTCTGCGGAGACCGACGGTGTCTGAGACGATTGCAGTCGATGCACGGTTACGGATGCGCGTGCCAGTGCCCGAACCACATGTTTGTGTCATCTCGGCGTGTTTCGATGCCCTCTCGACACTTGGTCTTGCACGCTAACTTGGTTTGTTGACTCGAGCCATTGGCAATGCGGGTTGAGCAGTTTGCATGTCGGTCGCCTTTGCTGCTTTTTCTGCAGGTAGGCATTGGCTATTAAGAACCGCTTGCAGAGCAACCATCAAATAGCCGCAGCCACTTGAAGGCGCGCGTGCGAAACTTTTTATTTCCGCATCGTGAGATGGCATCGTGTAGTGCAAGCGCGTCGCCCAGGGGCCGGACGGGAAGCAGAGGAGGGAAGAAGACAGGTATTGCGTGGGACGGAGATGGGGGAATTGGGCACAAGTTGAGAGGAGGAGGAGGAGGAGGAATGAGGAGAGGGAAGACGGGGAGGGAATGGGAGACGGGGAGGGGAAAATAATTTCTTGACCCTTCGCGTGTCTCCAACAGCCCAATCCATTCAGAACCGATGCCCAGGGGTGTTGTCGGGTAGTGTCCCAAATTGACGTCTTCTGGTAAATTTGCATGCGGACGTCCTATAGCACATCTATGCAAGGAGGCGGGGTTATACGGAGCACGTTCCCTTTCAAATTTTGGTAAACCCCCAAGTTGGAGGACGAGAAGAACGGAGAGCAGGATAATTGGTGGGAGAAGGACGAACATAGGGAGGAGGAGGAGGAGGATGAGGATAATGAGGAGGATGAGTGAGTAGGAGGAGAGAGTTGAGGAGGCGGGAAGCGGTAAGAGAACGTAAGAACGACAACCACAACGACAGGAGTGAATATTTCAAGGTCATTGCGGGTCTTTCACTCTGGGCGCCTCTTGGAGCCTTCTCGGGGCAATTGTTGGGCCCTCTTCGGTGAATGTTTGACGCTTTGGGGGCTCTCGTGGGGCCTCCTGGGACCATCCTGAAGGCAATCGATCACACAAGGAGACGGGAGCAATCGCCTTCCCCCCGCGAGAGCCCGACATATCGCTTCTTGGACAGGTCTTGACACGCTCGGGGCGTTCTTAGGTTCTCTTGGGTCCGTCGTGGAGTTTTCTTGGGTTCCCCCTGGGTCCCTCCTGGTGCTCTTGTGAGCAATATTGGAGCCATCTTGATGCTTCGAAGAAAAATACAAACGCAAGAAAACACAGCCCATCGAATCCCATCGACGTTCTTTAGGTTGTTGACGGGTTTGGTTATTCTGGGGATTTTGGGTGCAGATTGAACGAATGATTGAGCCGTCTTGGGTTCTCGTGTGCCGTTTTGCATGCTATCTGTTGTTATCTAAGACCATCTTGGAGCCATCTTGGGCCACGAGAGTTTATCTGGCAGTTATACCTCGCCTCCACCCCCCCCCCTTCCAAATCCGCGGGAAGGGGGTAGGGAGACGCAAATTGGTTGGTTCATTCTCACCCGCCCTCCGAACACATATGTCATACCCGAGTCTCAGCAGATTCAGCGGTCGTCTTCAGTTGGGCAGCTATTGCAACCAATACAGGCCCCAAGTGCGCAACGTTGGGGCGAGGTGCGCCACGCGTGCCAGGCGAGCTACGCGGACCAGGCGCGCCAGGCGCCCCTCGGACCCGAGCGTGCCAGGCACGCTTGGTGCGCCAGATGTTCCACGTGCGCCCAGTGTGCCGCATGCTCAAGCCGCGCCAGGTGCGCCACGTTCGGGCCACGCACAAACTGTGCCAGGTGCGCCCGCGCACATCGGAAAACAGGTTGGCCCCCCACCATCCTTGCGGAAACCCAGCGCGCAATCGCGGCGGGGTGGCTATCATGATGTGTTTGTGGGCTTGCGCACAGCAGGCAATCTTCCAGCGCCCCGCCGTCCCGTTCAAAAGCCATTGCAAAGTGATCGCGGGGTGCCCGCGCATGATCCAGCAGTACAGTTAGGTCAAATCTGGCGGGACTCCGTCGGATCACGATATGCCGTCGGGGTACATTCTTCAGTACCAGCAAGTGCACCAGCTCCTGCGCATCAAGAATTGGCCAGTAGCGGGAGGACTGGCTGGGAGGTTTGGCATTTGTAGCGTGATTCCAGGGAATATGGGATTCATCTTGCACGGCCCAGAAATTTATATATATATATATGTCTAGTTTTGCCAAATCCAGCCGAAGCAATTCTTCTCCTCCGCTCTAGATGTCTTCAGCAGGGTGCCCAGATCTTACACGAGCAGAGCGCGCACCGCTGTATACACATAGCGAAGTGCTTGACATGAAATGAACGGCCTGGCTCGTCAAGGAGCAGGGCAGTGTTGCAAAGCGGATGGATCCTTCGCCTGATTCGATGGCTGCTTCGGCCAGCCGAACGCTCCACGTCTCCTGACTCGAGATTGATTTCGTCCTCCCGGATATTGAGCGCTCGGCCCTCCTCGACGATCACGTACTCTCCATTCTGCAAGACTCCTCGGAGTAGATTCCCGCATCCGTTCCGCGTCGTCACTGGGCCCGTGATCTGGTGGCGCTGGCCGTCCACCCAGCGGATCCCCATCTAGTTGTCCTTACGCTCTCCTTCGGGATCGCGATGTCCAGCGCGGTCCTGCGGTCCTTATTCGGGCCCGCCGAGATCTTGTGCAGATGGTCGTAGAGGTATTGGCTGTCCGTCACGATGGTGAGGGGGAAAGTCCTCCCAGAATCAGGCGCCGCTGCGCGAATATCGCCCTCAGATAGATGCCGTTGGCCAGACCCTCATCCGCTCCCAGCGTCCCCGCCGCCAAGGAGCTCGGCATCTTCCGTGCCAGCCGATGTGACCGCCATGCCGATGATGAGATCTGCCCCACTTGCCGTCGTTGATCCGAATGTCCCCGGCCATGAGAATCCAGCCCGCCTGTCTCGCTTGGTCCTTGGCGTTCGCCCACGCGGCGTCGGCCACCGCGTAGAAGCCCACGCTCTTAAGTCAGATTGGTCTGGGTCTGCCCCAGAGACTCGTGTGGGAGAAATCCTTCCCCACGCGCACCAGCCAGTTCCCCTCCAGCAGGTCCGACTTGTGGAGGGTGCTCTGTAGCAGTGAGACCAGGCCGCTGAGGTCCAGTCGCGTCTCTCGTCCGATGCTGTCCAGGGGCCCAGCCACCGCCGCCGGCAGGGCGGAGGGCTTCTTCTCGTTGCGGTCCTCGTCCGGCATGGCTCGTCTGCCAGCGTGGCTGTTGATCAGTTCGATCTCCTCGGCCATGCTTGTCCGGCTGAGCCTCGCCGACTTGTCGGGCAGCTGCTCCAGCCACTTCCCCGGGAAGTCGCCCTTGCCCTTGCGGCACTTAACTGAACGGGAACCTCCTCTTGATCTTCTCCATGGCCCTACATCCCCAGGACGAAAGTTTTTTCCTCTTGGGCCCGGAACGACGGTGTGAAGTCTGGAGCAGACCCGTATGAGATAACCGCCGTCGGATCTCATGAAGCTCGCGCGGATCCAAATGTGGTTTTGGTGTTTGTTTCGGTGGATCCGATTTCCGTCCGTACGGATCCGATTTCGGATTCGCTGGATCCGTGTCCGGTCTTATTTTTTACGGCGGATCCGATTTCTACCCTGTTTTAAATGTATATTATTAAATTAAACCAGGGAGCCGGAAGAAATCGGATCCGCGGACCCCGCAAACCGCCCGTGTTAAGATTCTATGGGGGAGGGGGGTTCGGTCATCAATTTTCCACGATGGGCCCTGCGTCGTCTCGCGCACTCCCATCAACTCCCCGCGCGAGCGGGCCCCATTCAACATGAATACATACATACATCCCCCCCCCCAGTTGCTGCAAACAGCTCGTCTGGTCGCCGTCCGTTCGGCGGCGCCGACGTTGTCTCGCGAACTCCTCATGGCCATTTTCACCTCAAGAGGAAAATCTTTCGTCCTGCGTAAGTGCGTTTCGGCCCTGCGTCTCCTCACCCAACGGATTGCCTGTGAGATGTGGTGTCGGCTGTGTGGTAACCAACAACGGATTGCGTGTGAGATGTGGTGTGTCGGCTATGTGGTATGCAACAAGTCCGAAGGCCAAAACGCTGCGTTTCGGCCCTGCGTCTCCTCACCCAACGGATTGCCTGTGAGATGTGGTGTCGGCTGTGTGGTAACCAACAACGGATTGCGTGTGAGATGTGGTGTGTCGGCTATGTGGTATGCAACGAGTCCGAAGGCCAAAACGCTGCGTTTCGGCCCTGCGTCTCCTCACCCAACGGATTGCCTGTGAGATGTGGTGTCGGCTGTGTGGTAACCAACAACGGATTGCGTGTGAGATGTGGTGTGTCGGCTATGTGGTAACCAACGAGTCCGAAGGCCAAAACGCTCAGTGCGTTTCGGCCCTGCGTCTCCTCACCCAACGGATTGCCTGTGAGATGTGGTGTCGGCTGTGTGGTAACCAACAACGGATTGCGTGTGAGATGTGGTGTGTCGGCTATGTGGTATGCAACAAGTCCGAAGGCCAAAACGCTGCGTTTCGGCCCTGCGTCTCCTCACCCAACGGATTGCCTGTGAGATGTGGTGTCGGCTGTGTGGTAACCAAACGGATTGCGTGTGAGATGTGGTGTGCTATGTGGTACAACGAGTCCGAAGGCCAAAACGCTGCGTTTCGGCCCTGCGTCTCCTCACCCAACGGATTGCCTGTGAGATGTGGTGTCGGCTGTGTGGTAACCAACAACGGATTGCGTGTGAGATGTGGTGTGTCGGCTATGTGGTATGCAACAAGTCCGAAGGCCAAAACGCTGCGTTTCGGCCCTGCGTCTCCTCACCCAACGGATTGCCTGTGAGATGTGGTGTCGGCTGTGTGGTAACCAACAACGGATTGCGTGTGAGATGTGGTGTGTCGGCTATGTGGTAACCAACGAGTCCGAAGGCCAAAACGCTCATCCCCAGGACGAAAGTTTTTTCCTCTTGGGCCCGGAACGACGGTGTGAAGTCTGGAGCAGACCCGTATGAGATAACCGCCGTCGGATCTCATGAAGCTCGCGCGGATCCAAATGTGGTTTTGGTGTTTGTTTCGGTGGATCCGATTTCCGTCCGTACGGATCCGATTTCGGATTCGTTGGATCCGTGTCCGGTCTTATTTTTTACGGCGGATCCGATTTCTACCCTGTTTTAAATTTATATTATTAAATTAAACCAGGGAGCCGGAAGAAATCGGATCCGCGGACCCCGCAAACCGCCCGTGTTAAGATTCTATGGGGGAGGGGGGTTTGGTCATCAGTTTTCCACGATGGGCCCTGCGTCGTCTCGCGAACTCCCATCAACTCCCCGCGCGAGCGGGCCCCATTCAACATGAATACATACATACATCCCCCCCCAGTTGCTGCAAACAGCTC